TGGAAATGGGAAAGGAAACACGAAAGATGAAAAGAACATCGTGCGCATCGCCGCAGTGATCCACGTACTTTTCACGCTCATTGACCAGGCCTTGTCTAAAACAACGGGAGTGGTGCCGGTGCAAATCAACCGGCATGTGATTAACGCAGCTATATCACTTGCACTTTATTTTGAGAAGCAACGAGCAATCATCCGTCAGGTAATTTTTGTGAACTTAAAAATTCTATTTTATAGACTGCTCGCATTACATATGTCCACAAATCGCATTTGAGAAATGAAGCTGTTACATGCGCACATGGTAAAGTTACATGTTGCAGCATGTTGGCATGTATTATGCATGCGACGCAAGTCTAGGAAATGTTTAAAAGTTTTCATTGTAGTTGTTCTTTTGTTATATCATATGGACATAAAATGTACAATGTGAATGTACATTATGATACGGTAAAAACTACCATTTGTTTGTGTTACTATATGCTTTTGTTGCCTAGAGCAATGACATAACTCTGTTTGGCATAAGCCTTGATTTTTTTCTTTTTTATCAATTTCAGGCAGCTTCCCTCGGAGAGATCCAAGGAAAAAATAAAGTCTCCGATGAAGAGATTAAAGAGATGATTCTCCGGCAGAATGGCTACTTTGTCACCCCCAAGAGAGCTTCCCGTAAATTCTCCTCCCGGATAAGGCCAGATAGTACAAGGGTACAAGAGCAAATGAAGTCGTTGGAGGAAATGGGCCTTGGAAAGATGGTAAAAGTCGACAGGACCATGTTCTTTTACAAGGCTCTCCCAACTGCTGTGCAAGTGGACAAACTTGCTGCCTTTAGGATCAGCATCGACCAATATACGGAATCTATCAAACTCGTCGATGATAGTTATACAGAGATGCAAAGGGCAGCAGCGGAAGTCCACCACCCAGAATGGGATAGTTTCAAAAGATTCCGTGATCCCAATAATCTAAATTGACTTTGACTTTTTTGAATGAGCTTTCATTTTTGCATTCCATTGCAAAGTAGTCAAATTACCCATGATGTTGAACTTAACATACAAAATGATTGTTCGTGTTTAATAATTTAAAGGAAAAACAGAAAAAAGCGTTGTTTTATGAAAGAGTTTATGATCAAAATGATTTTTATTGCATTCACTTCTTTTTATGGCGAGATTACATTGCCGTAATGTATCTGTTCGCCGATGTACTAAACATACAAAATGATTGTTCGTGTTTGATACTTCAAAGGAAAAACAGAAAAAAGCGTTATTTTATGAAAGAGTTTATGATCAAAATTAATGCTTTTGCATTCACTTCTTTTTATGGCGAGTTTGCATTGCCGTTGTATTTGTTCGCTGATGTGCTTTTGCGATTTTTTAATTGTTGTAATCAGTTACAAAGTGATTAATAAATGATTTAACAGTTTGAAGCCCTAATTATCCGTCTGCATACTATCAAGTGGGATCGATCTCGTATTTGGGCGTGTATTAGAAGTCAATATTCAACTGCCCCCACCCTCTCCTCCCGCCTCACCCACCACTACCAACAATTACCTGTGGGGGTCGGGCAAAACAGAGAAGCGCAAAGACCCAGAAACCCAAAGACCCAGAGACCCAAAGACCCAAAGACCCAAAGACCCAAAGACCCAAAGACCCAAAGACCCAAAGACCAAGAGACCCAGAGACCCAGAGACCCAGAGACCCAGAGACCCAGAGACCCAGAGACCCAGAGACCTAGAGACCCAAGGACCCAGGAACCCAAGGGCCCAGAGACCCAGAAACCCAAAGACCCACTCGGGCCCAGAGACCTAACGACCCAAAACCCCAAGGACCTAAAGTCCCGGAGGATCCAACGACCCAAGCTCCCAGAGGACCAGAACCCAACAGCCCAAAGCCCTAGCAATCCTAGAAACCCTATAGTTCCAAAAATTCCAGCAGTCTCTCAACTTCGTAGGTCCAGAGTTCCAACAGTCCCTCAACTTTGTAGGTCCAGAGTTCCAGTAGTTTACGAGCCGTTTAATTTCAGTGGTTGATATACCGAGAAGCCGCCCGGCTCATGGACCCAATGCCTCCTTGACTGAATCATCAGAACCAGTTGGAGCAAGAGCCTCTCAGATTCTGTGCAAGTCGTGGAACAAAGGTTGTTGTGTGGGCCCATTTGCCTCTTGTCATTTTGCTTAAGGCGGTTCCAGCTGCTCTGGTGCACATCGTGCTGTCAGCTTCCCAGGGACAGAGCCAGCCCAGACTCCAATCAAGTCCAGCCGCCTGTCGTGATCCCCGTCCCGTTCCTCCAGCAACTCTCCGCGAACGTGAACTCCCCTTTTTAATCTTAGTGTTTGATGTCTGTTGCTAGTTGGTATTTTCTATCTTTAATAACATAGAAAGAATAAACAGTCCTTTTATATGCTATTGTTATGATATTCTTTGTTTCCTTCTCATAGTGCCACTTCCCACGGTTTTGGAAATAACTCCCCTCAAGGTTGACCAGTTTGCCTGGGAATTGCGACATCATCCAAATTAGCAGCTATGTAACTTTGTATTGGATGGACTGTGGAACGGTTTCAAGCTTGGTTTTCAGCCTGCCCTTTCACTGAAATCAGCTAAGAAAAACAATCCTCAGCCTACCAGCAGCCCTTGGTCATTGATGAGTACTTGGCCCATGAGGATCCCCGGGGTAGGATTGCTGGCCCTTTCAGATCCTCTCCCCTTCCCAACCTTCATATAAGCAGCTTTGGGGTTATTCTCAAAAAGGGTCAGCCTGGGAAGTGGCGTTTGACAGTGGACCTCTCATCCCTAGGTGGTGTAAGCGTCAATCATGGGATCAACGCCCATGAGTCTACCTTGCATTACATAACAGTTGACCAAGTTATCCGCATGGTGTCCCGTCTCGGCAGAGGGGCACTTATGGCTAAGTTTGATGTTGAGGCAGCCTACCATAATATTCCAGTCCACCCATCAGACAACCATTTGCCTGTCGTGAAGAAGGATCTCCTTTTGAATGCCTTGTTTCTTAACATGCAGTCTCCCTAGGCATTGACTCTAATCATGGGGAGTTTGCCTCATTGTCGCGTAAGGCAACGTTGGAATTGCAAGAAAAAGACAAGCCAAATCTTGTATATAAGTGGTCAAGATGCCTGCACAATTCTGAAGGAAAATCCAGTATAGATATGGATAGAATGCCTTTTGGATCAATGCAATATTGCATTGAATTCTTCAGCTGCACTCATGTTAGCCAAGTAAGTAATCAAAAGGCTGTGCTTGCTACATAATAATATTGTATATTACTATAATACAGATTCTTCTGACAAGTATGTTTCAAGAGCGTGTTTAAGCCCCTCTCCTGCATTAATAGCCAATTTTTTAACATCTCACTTGACTCTGAAGATGCATTTGAAAAGTTTTTGAAATCATTATGCCAGTTACTCTGTTATTTAACAACAGGCCTATTTTGGATTGCACGTACCTGCTCAACCAATAATAATGATTTCATTTGTCGGTTTTTTTTGCAATCACTCAATCACATTATTTTTAATACAAGATCAGACAAACACAGACACAATAACAGCATTAGTCTGCTAGATTTCTTACTGCTGATCCATTTTTTGAATAATCGATTTCAGATCAGAGAAACACCCGACTACAAAATTTGGCAGGACACCATGGAAGCTGAGTTTGGTGGTGGGAAGTCTGGAGATCGAGTAGGAGCCATTGGCCCACGTAGAGGAGCATCTAACTCGCTGCAACATAACACTTCGAGAAATTTTTGACTCGAACGATCTGCCGTACAATCAGATACGTGCTGTAATTGTTGGACTTATGTTCGGTGTTATCTATAGTGACTGAAAATGAACTACATCGTTTGATCTTATTAGTCAGAGCAAATCAAGTGAACATTGTTCAGTGGACATAGAAGCGAAGCGAACAGTTCAACAATGTTCCCGCGTGTGCAACTAGTTTGGGTAGATTTTGAAAACAAAGTGTTCCTTCAATAATGATAGGCAAAAAGGGATCAGAAGCAACCGTTTTCTTTATTGGCAAATATGAAAACATCTATTTCTAATAAAATGTTCAAGTAAAAAAATAGTCAAATTTTAGATGGTTGTTCTGTTTTCAGTTTTTGGTCGTTTCGATACAAAGTCTTTTATCAGAGTTGAACTTGCTCCTGGAATAACCAGAAAAGTCTCTGCGTTTTTGCTTTCCGCGTTTTGGCCCCTGAATAAAATTGTGAGAAATACAGAATTGTGAATAGTGATCGCTTATGCCAGAGATAATATTCCCACTGGTAGTTTCAACATCAACTTTGTTTGTTAGAATATTATCAATTAGGGTGACTGAGTTATTGTAAACACCTGTTGGGTTGTCAACAGTTGGGATAAATGAAAAGCTTTGAAGACAAAGTAAGAAGTCCTGAGCATAACAGAAAGTTTCGGCATGAAGGAGGTTTATGTTGAAGTCGCTCATAGTATATATTGATTTGTTTGAGGTAATTAGTCTTTCAAGTTTATCATCAAAATATTCTTGGAAACGTTTGGGAGGGTTATGTTGTCTATATATGATACCACAAAGGCTTCATCAGATACTTTTTCAATGACAGTATATTTCAGGGAATCATTAATATACAAGCCAACACCTCCAGAAGCTAGGTGTCGGCACATATTCGAAAACATATCCAGGTATGCTTGGATTAAAATCCATTTTTTACCACTGATTATTTTAGTTTCTGAGACTCCTATAATGCTAAATTCGAAATTTAACTCGTCCAATAGATGAACTTGAAAGTTTTCAAGGTTTCGCTTAAGACTCCTGATATTATTATGTAAAAGAGAGAAGCTCGAATCACTGACATGACTGGGAAGTTCACTTTTAAATTTGTAGAAACTATATGGGGAACAGTATCGACTATGAATACAATGATTATAGAGACTACCACCAGGATTGGTGTCTTTAAGTGCGTTTAGCTTGAAAAGATTAAGGTCATAAATGCTAGAGAGTTTTTCTAGATATTTTTTGGCCGGCAAATGGGAAGGTAAACAATTATTAAATTGACCATGAGCTAAGTTTACACTTAATCCAAAATATGGGAGCTCAAAGGAATAAAGATAGAGTATCGTGAGAGTTTTGATTGTTAGCACTCATGAATAAAACTAACTAAAGTAGATCATAGTAGATACTTATCGAACTGATAATGTCAGGTGTCCAAGACAATTCGCTGTAGACTACCAATTTCCGTTATCTTTATTGGTCGGGAACTCTCACTCTTGCGTAAACAAATCGTGGAATTCTTGGCCCAGCAGAAGCGGTATTGGTTCTGTTCTTTAAATCTCTTCGCTTCAAACAACAGATGTTGTTTTTTGGGGGTGAGGTGATCAAAGATTCTGACTCTGTCAAGAACACTATCAGCAGACAGACCAATATTTGATGGGTTGACTTGAGAGGCACTTTGTCGAGTTTCCATGACACTTGTTTTTGCAAGGCGTCTTACAAATTTACAGATGACCGGTTTCAGAGCGCCACTTTGCTGCCTCGAGGGGACGTGATGAGCAATGTCAACATCCAACAGAAACACTTCTGTCCCCATCTCCTGGAATAATCTTATGCACAGGGCGCTAATTTCAGCTGCGGTTTCACTGCTTTTCTCTGGCAGGCCAATTATTTTTACATTAAATTGGTAGCTATATTCCTCAACCTCGTCAATGGCGTTGCCAACACGTGTGACTTCAGCGCTAAGCTTATTAAGACGACGGCTTAATGCCTTTAGTTGATCAACGACACCAGAATTAGATCTTGACAGGTCGTGGTATTCATCCCTCAGATATTGTAGACTACGAGACACGGTTTCATTATTTGAAGCATTATTATTGCTATTACCAGACGTAGCAGCTGCTTCAGCACCAAACCTTCTCTTACAGCTGCGTTATTTCCTTCGAAAGGGCGTCGACCGTATCCTTTCAATCTTGCTTTTGTTGCTTTAGTGAAGTAACTGACTCTTTTGGCAAGATTTCAGTGGAAATTATTAACAAAAGGACAGTAGAAAAAACGACTCATTAAGGTAAGAAGAGGGAGCTCAAAATTAAACGTCCATCTTGGCTCCTGACCGCTGACCTATCAGAGAGGCTGTGGATAGTCACTGGCAACAATAGACAAAAGCCTTCTTCTTTCTACAGAATTGTAGTTGACCTTCCCAAGTTACGGGCTGCATTTCTTTGTGATCTAAAGCAGTCAGGGATGCTACGTTTGAATGCAATGTTGCTCTTTGACAATGTCCTTGAAATGTTGATAGCCTAGGTCATCCTTATATCTTGCTTTCTTATTTCACTGTTCACTTCTTTGTTTTTACAGTCCTTGCATTCCTCTACAATAGAATGCAACACCTTGTCATGAACAGTCAAATCTCCTTTACTATTTGGTAAAATTCCAAAGGTGCTTGACCGTTTTTTGGAGAGAAGGAGATCATCAAGGAGGTCATGCAACGCAGATTCATCACCATGTACATAAAGATTCAACAGATCACGAAATTTTTCAATTACTTTAGTCAGGATATCACTTTTTTTCTGGTCTCATACAACTTGTATGGTCTATTTGGGAACTCCCCAACCTGAATACCTTGATTGGTCAAAGGAACTGGATCTGTTTGGGTCTGACCATCACACTGAAGATCCTCTGCTGTGTCGCAAAAAACTAGACTTTCCAGACCCTGGTTGGACAAATAAAGGAAAAGAAGTGACAAGTGTTGGTATGTCTAAGTCTTTATCCTTGCACTATTAACTTCATACCCAGAAAATAATTATTACAAGTCTTTTTCACAAACAAAAGATCATGATACCGATCATCATACCTGTTTGACCAATCAAAACACTCTATTGTAATTGGGTTAATAATTCAACATTTAGCTTGTTCTTGAGTGGAACATTACTTTAACGGCATTTTGGAAAGAACCTAAAATCAACGATTTAAAAAGTAGTTTTTACAAGTAAAGTTCAAAATCAGGTTTTAATTAGGATGTTTAAAGACTATTTTGAATATACTTTCCCATCTAGAACCTTAAACAGCTCATAAATAGGATAGTTAAAACATGTTTGAAGAAGGTTTAAGAGGCAGTTCACTTTAAAGTGTGATTTGAAATGACAAACACCTTGGAATCTCCCCAATCTGGATTAAAACGGGCTGTTTTTACAGTATTTTCACAAACTATCCTATTTAAACAGTGTTTAAATGGAAACCTGTTCCCAAACCAAACTTAACAGGCTGTTTATAGGGTGTTTTGAAAAAAACGGCTGTCCTCAATGGTAAAAAATAGACTTCAAAGAAAAAAAATCAACCAAATTTATTTTCAAACAGATTTTAAATACTCTCTTCGGGGTATTTTTAAAAATTGATACCTGCAGTCACGGACTTGACAAACAAAATGCAATTAATAGACATGCAGATACAGTCTGCCAAACGAAATAAGAACAAGTTGTCTAGGCAAAGCCCATTCTACAAAGGCACTGTTCTTATAGTTAAGCCATCTTGACAGAAGTGTTTCTTCGTCAATCCAAAAGAAAATTGATGAGAATTCTCAGTTCTGCACACATCCGACTTCTAATCATGCACGTACTTAATAAGTAACCACTAAGTATAAATTACCACAAAATTATAAAGCCTAAGTCAACTAGAAAACAAGACACAGAGCTGCCATACAGTTGGGAGCTAATGTATCTCCCAACAAAAACCAACAATCAACTTTAAACTTCATCAGTCAAATATAGTATCGAAATATGCATGCATGTCAAGCCCATCGACCGGTTTGATGACACGCGTTGTGTCACAATGTGCGACAGCATGAAACATCGATCCCCAATCGTTATTCATCAAATCTCTCTGTGTATACCGAGACCCTGGGGTTAGGAAAAAAGAAGTTTCATGGTGTCAAGATCAGTGAATTAGATGAACTGGAAAAACTATACGAAGTAAATGTACAGATGTATAGTCTCGCGCCTACTCAGAGCTGAGGAGAAGACAAAGACGATCAAGAAAATGCTCCCGAGATTGCCGCTACACTCCTCCGTCGCTCACATCGCCATTTTTCAAGCACGATGTACCTCAACCTCTACCAAAACCATTTCTCATATATTAAAGACCTTGCCTGGTATTCAAAGTCTTTCTGCTGTTCTCGCTGTGGTAAATACTGGAAACGTGCATCAATTTAAGGAAACACAAAAAGACCTGTGACAGCAAAGTCCAGCTGAAATATCCTGGTGGAACATATCCATCCCTAAAACAGTGTATTAAGAATTAGAAGAAGAGGGTATTACTGTCCCTGAAGAAGCACGCTATTTTCCCTACAGAGCCACATTCGATTTTGAGTGTTACTTCGATAAAGAAAAAGCGCAAGAACTGAAGAACACAGACAAATTGAACTGGGAATCTGCCCATGTGCCTTTGAGTGTGAGTGTATGCAGTAATGTGCTGGGTTATGAAGAACCAAAGTGCTTCGTGTCAGAGGGAGATTCAGACCTACCTCTTGAAGAGTTCGTGCAGTACCTCACCATGATTAGCAACAAAAGTTCATCCCTGCAATGCCAACGGTACGCAGAAGTCTTTGAAGCGCTTAAGTGGGAATCTGTTCCTAGTCATGAGGTCACAAAAGATGATCAACTCACGCAAATACTTGTAGACATCCAGGAAGATAATGTAGAGTCTGGCGAAGATGAAAATAGTGAAGAAGAGAGCGAAGATCAAAGTAGAGACTGATTTAATTGCGAGAGATAATGAAGAGGATGAAGAAGAGATTGAATCGGAGAACGAAGAAGACTGCGCCTTTCTCGATGATGAGATACAAGAACAGGAAGACATCTCCTTTCACAGAAGATTTCATGTAGAACTCGATAGAGGCCTAAGACAAGAACAAAGACAACAGCGACAAGAACTGGCCATGTACGAAGACATGTTGTTTGGACAAGAACAAACCAGTGACAACAAAGTCCTTATCCAATTAGAAGAAAAACTGAAGGCCTATATACCAGAACTGCCAGTGGGATGTACGACCCGAATGCCACCAAAGAATTCCTGTTCCCGTACTTAATCAAGCATTATCCTATCAAGTTCACTGTGAAAAGAAACAGTAATTATATGTGCCTCAACACAAACTCCTTAAAATTTCTGGACATTTCTAACTATCTAGCACCTAGATTCAGCTACGACCAGTTCCTGAAAGCCTACGAATGCGAACAGACCAAAGGGTTCTTTCCTTATGAGTTGACAGACAGGTTGGATAAGCTCAAACAGACATTGCTGCCCCCTCACACTGCGTTCTACTAGACTCTCAAAAGTCAAAACATCTCAGAAGAAGAGTATACTGATACTGCCAGCAAGTGTGGGAGGAAAACCAGATGATCACAGTTAGAGAATTTCTCGCCTGGTACAATAACTTAGATGTGGCGCCTTTCTTAGCAGCAGTAGAAAAAATGAGTGCTTTCTGGCAAGAGCAAAACAAAGATATGTTCAAAGATGGCATTTCTGTCCCTGGTCTCACCCTCAAGTATACCTCTTCTCGTTCCTGGACGAACAAATGTTCTTCAGCCTGTTCAACCAACCCGATAGCGATCTCTATCACCTCATTAAAGATAACAAAACGGGCAGGCCAAGTATCATCTTTCACCGCTACCATGAGGCCGGCAAAACCAAACTGAGTGAAGCAGAGAGAGGTCGGGCAGCTAAACTTTGTCAAAAAATCATGGGGTATGACGCGAGCGCCTCGTATCTCTGGGCTCTGATGCAAGATATGCCCACCAGCAGCTACATGCATGCCTAGCAGAGACTGAGTTCAAACATAATGGGTCCATTCAGATGGCGATTGAATGGTTAGAATTTGTAGCTCATGAAGAACGCTTTCATATCCATCACCAGCTCAACAACATGGAGAAGTGTACTGGTGGAAGAAGACTTCCCGTCGACAGATCTAATGCCCAGACATAGATGGTCTATCAGTTTCACGGCTGTTTCTGGCACGGTCATCATTGCGATCTTAATGGAGGAAAAGAAGTTAACGAAAAACACAAGAAACCGATGGTAGAACTGCTGGAAGAAACCAGAGCCAACACTGAGTATATTTGCAGCAAAGGCTATCGTGTTGTGGAGATGTGGGTGTGTGAATGGTGGCCACTGAAGAGAAGCAACCGAGAACTACAGCATGTTATCGCCATGGAAGTCCACAGAACCTTGGATACGACCAAGATTATGAGCTTGCAGAGAACATTGAGCGAGGTGCGAAATGAGCGTTTGTTTGGGTGTGTCGAAGTGGATATTAGTGTACCAGATCATCTCAAAGAGAAGTTTAGTGAAATGTGCCTCATCTTCAAGAACACCGAAATCAGGTGTGCCGATATTGGTGACTTCATGAAAAGCTATGCAGAGGAGCATAACATCATGGCTCAGCCTCGATGCAGTTTAATTGGGAGTATGAAAGAAGAAAAATTCTTGTTGGCCACACCTTTGCCGAAATGGTACTTAGAACACGGCTTAGTAGTGACCAGAATACACCAAGTGGTTGAATTCACCCCTGAGCCCTGTTGTAAACCTTTTGGAGATGCTGTGTCTGACACCAGGAGAGCCGGTGACACTGATCCTAGGAAAGCCATCATTGCATTTACCATGAAACTGGTAAGTTTTTTGTTTCATTTTTCGGGTTATAGGGGAGGGGAAGTCTATTTTATTTTTCGTATACGAATCCTTTTTATTAAATGTACTATTTTTTCTTTTTGTATTTGTATTTTTTTGTATTTAGGTGGGCAATTCAGGCTACGGAAAAACCATTACAAACCAGCTGAAGCACAGGAACGCGGAATATTGTTGACTCTCTTAGGGGTGCTGCCTTCTCGTGGCGAGAGTCATAGTTAGCTGGCCAGTGCGTGCTGCCCCTAGTCTACACAGCTGCACCTGGCATGGGCCTTGTCTGCTTGACTTGGTGATTGAGCTTAGCACTCGCATACTTAACATCAGGGCTTTATCCCCTCATTTGCTCTTTTGAGCTAAGTCTGTCAACATCTGGAAAATGAGGCACGGTAAGGCGACAGGCCCTACTAACGTGCGGGCCTTAAACTGCCCAAGGTATTTATATGGCGGGACGCGCATCAACAATGCCGCCGCTAGCCGGCCCTTAGGCCCTTAGGCTGCATCATCTGCTATAGCCAGGCTTTAACATCTGCCAAATGGCTTAATTTTTAGGGCTGTGATCTTGCCCAGCCTAAGCAAGTGTGACAACAGCTTTCTCTCCTTGTCTGGTAGGCTTGTCCTGTGACGGGTTGCGTGCTTTTACCACCAGCTGGGGGTGGTCGTACCGGTCGGTGAAACTAAAGGTGCCCCAAGTCTCTTTGGGTTAGCAGCCCTCAGAGACTTCGCGTTGCTTTTGACAAAAACACTGGGGAGCCTGCCACAGCAGGCTCTTCCAGTGACGCTCGACCTGCTCAAGGGGTGACCGGTGGTGCTGGTCTCCTACCATGCCCGGACTGCGGTCGTGGGTTCCGTGGCAAGGCGGGGGTCTCTTTGCATCGACGCCGCGCACACCCAGAGGCCTACCATCAAGATCATGTGCCTCAGCAGAGGAAGAAAGCGTGCTGGGTCTATGAGGAAAAAGTTCTCTTGGCAAGGGTGGAAAAGAACATGGTGGAAGCGGGGATTGCTGTGAACAGTAAGACCTTGGCGGAGCAATTCCCGAGTCGCTCTTCTGAAGCAATCAAGAAGATGCGGCAGTCGGTGGAGTATGAGAGAATCTTGGAATCATTGTCTGGCGTGCATGGAATGCATGACCGCCCTGCTGGGGGGAATGCTTCTTCTCTGGCCGGTGCCACTCGAACGCATGACGGTAGGGTGGATGGGGGTGATTCCCCTGAAGCCCATGCCACCTTCGGTGCAACATCGATGCCATCCCAGGTTACTCACAAACAGCCTGAGCCCAGGGTTTCCAGGCCCCAAACGACTTACTCTGCCGACCAGTGCGGGTGGTCGGATGGCTTGAGGGAGGCGCTGGAGGAGGCTCAATTAGACTTGGGGGATTTAACAATTGAACCGATTGTGCCCAGTTGCCGAGATGACTGGGTGAGGAGCGTGTTGGATTTGGAGTACCGGGCCTGGTTGCCGTCTCATGAGAGGCGTGCGCCTGGTTCTCGTCCCGGACCTCAGCGGACTGAGGCCCAGGATCGACCTAGAGTCAGGCGCAGGGCTCAGTATGTCCGGGTTCAGCGGGAGTACATTAAGAACAGATCCCGCTGTGCCCAAAATGTCATCTCGGGTGCCTGGCAAGATCCGCCAACTCAGCTGCCTATGGAGATGCAGGAAACATTCTGGACGTCTTTTTGAGAAACCTTCACTTCCGGACAATAGGTGTCTGCAGCCTGTGGGGCCACCAAAGTGGGAACTTATTGCACCTATAACAGCTGAGGATGTCGAACGGTCACGGAAAGGGATGAAGGATGGCGCGCCGCGGCCAGACGGCCGAAAGCTTAAGGACGTGAGAGCCATATCATTTGACTAGTTGGCAGCTCATTTCAATCTGTGGCTACTATCAGGCTACCTGCCGAGTACATTGAGAAGAGGGGAGACTGTGCTGCTCGCTAAGGTGTCGGGAGCTGGTGCCCCTAATGAGTTTCGTCCCATCACGATGTCAAATATCGTGGTGCGATGTTTTCATAGGATCATGGCACAAAGAATGGAGATGCATCTTCCGCTCAGTCTCCGCCAAAAGGCTTTCCGGAGAGGTGACGGAATTGCCGACTCGGTATGGTTTATGCAGACGGTTATCAAACACCATCAAGACAGCCTCTGCCCTATTAACATTGCCTTTATGGATATGAAGAAGGCCTTTGACTCTGTATCCCACCAATGTATCTTAGTCGCAGCCTCTCGCTTAGGGATTCCACTGCCTTTCTTGGGCTATCTGCGTGAGCTAAATGGTGATGCGTGGACTAGACCCAGGATCGGCACCAAGTTGAGCGAACCAATTAAGTTGGGGCGGGGGGTCAGACAAGGAGACCCGATGAGCGTCCATTTGTTCAATGCCGTGATTGATTTGTCACTCGCCAGCCTCGGTACAGAGCTTGGAACGGAAATTGGAGGTGTCAAAGTGAACCATAATGCCTTTGCGGATGACATTGCGTTAATCGCAAGGTCCCAGGCTACAGGCACTGGCTGATGATCTGGACCGCGAGCTCACGCTGTGTGGTTTGGAACTCAGTACCGGTCTGCAAGGAAAGTCGGCGAGTATCTGCTTAGACATAGATGGCAGGGCAAAAAAGTGGATTGTGTATCAATGCCTGTACCTTCGGGTGCGTGGAGAGTTAGTTCCAACTTTTACTGTCAGTCAAGTCTATGAGTACTTGAGGTAGTAGGCGGCCATTGCTGAAGCACTGAAGCAGGGGCTGAGTAACATGTATACATTGCCAGTTGTCATCTGGTTCCCAAGCTACTCCATCAGCTTACTTTAACACCCTCATCTTCCAAGTACTTGCGATGGCTCGACCGGACTATGCGATCCACTGTTCGGTCCTGGCTTAAACTACCGAAGGATACCTCAATCGCCTTTTTCCATGCTAAGGCGATTGATGGTGGATTAAGTCTTCCTTTGCCAGAGCACAAGATTTCACTAATGAAACAAGCGAAAACTGCTAGAATGGCAATGTCTCCAGACCCGGTGGTTTGTGCTATGCTGGAAACTCCAGCCACACATAAAGTCCTGAGAGCAAAGCAAACCTCTCTGAACGGTACTGTCGTGGCGACACGTCAGGGCCTGAGGAGTGTGTTAGCTCAACAACTACACAGCTTGTGTGATGAGCGAGGACTGGCGACAGCCCCACAGGTACCCGCACAAAATCAATGGGTTACCTCAGGAGACATGACTCTAAATGGACACACTTATATTGGTGCGATCAAGATAAGGGGAAACTTGGTTGCCACAGCCTATCAGCCCCATACTGATATCAGATGCAATTGCTGTGGCAATTCCGAGTCCCTGGGTCACATCTTACAGACGTGTCCCAGGACTTATGCATCGTGCATTGCAAGGCATGACAAGATCGTTGACCAGGTAAGGTCTGGTGCGGAAAGGATCGGGTACGGTATCCGCCGCGAGCCGGCGATACAAACCCCAGCAGGTATTCGAAAGCCGGACCTGGTCTTAGTACGTGATGGCGACCTAACAATACTAGACATTACCATCGTCGCACACAATGCAGACCTCGATAAGGCCCATCACGATAAGTCTATCATGACGTCCCTGCCATTAGAGAGTGGGCCCAATCATGCTACCAGCCTAGGCGCATTGCCTTTGAGGCTCTAGCTATGAATTGGCGAGGGCTTCTGGCCTCTAGATCTGCTGCGGCACTGTCCATCAAAATCTTTCATCAGTATATTTTACACTTGTGAGTACTTTGTCTCTCGAGATTTAAGTTTTGTTTGAAAAAAACTAGATTTTGTGGATAATTTTCGCTTTCTTTGAATTGTAAATAGCATTGTATATAAAAGGTTTTGTAGAGACTTCAAATTTCTAAAGAATGTCATTTGTACATTATTTGTAAATAAAATAGGGTTTGATGTGCTAAACATGGCTTGTTGGCGGATAGGTACATTAGGGAACATCCACATAAACATGTGGATAGGCACATTAGGGAACATTGGCTTACCACGTTAGTCAGAATCTCCAAAAAATCTTCGAGATCGAAATGTTGTAACACGTCGTCCCACTCTCAGAATTGATCTTCTATGCCATCATTCACTTCTTGTTCATTGTCATCATCGTCTTCCTCTTCTTCGCTGGAACTTCCAATTTCTTGGAGAACTACATCATAGTTTTTGCTGCTGCCATCATACTCTTTGCCACCACAGTCATTGTTGTCATCACCATAAGTATCATCTGCGTGAACACTATCATAGTCTTCGTCATCGTCCCATGTCTCCTCCTCGTGTTCTCCATCATGAAAATCAACAATTTCTTCCACGTTAACCTTTCTCGCAACTTGCTCAATAGTTGCTTTGTCAAGCTGAGCTTTAGCTAAACAAGTTGAAATGAATACCAGCTTCTCGTTTTTCTTCATTTTCTTTTTTCCCAATTGGTGGTTTTCCTGAAAAAGATTCAGTGCTGATACTTTTAGCTTTTTCAGTGTCCTTGCCATGAACATCTCTTCCCATCACTGGGCTAGAGTGTGGGCAACGCTTCAATGAAAAATGATTGGGAATGATTGCAGAATTGCAAAGTAACATTGACCAGACTTTGACGAAGGCAGAGGCCCAAAAAGAAAAACAAAAGAGAATGTATCCTTTTGCAAAAGAAACATTCGTCTCGAAAAAGAGAAGAGTGAAAGAAAATAAAGCAAAAGCTAGGAAGCGACGCAGTGAAAGAGCAGAGAAAAATTGTGAGGGAGTGTTCTCCGCAATCAGTCACTCATCATCTTATGGTGAATTTATAAACTATGATCATTGTAGTGTGATAGGCCTTAACAGCTTAACAAAGAGAGATGGTAGGTGGTTAAAACTATTAATAAGTAAAGGTAAATTTACAGTGGATGCTATTGAAACAATCAGAGCAAACGTGTCACCCGTTGTATTGAGTGCTATAGATGACAGTGATGATGATAATGATGATAATGAGGAGGACGAGGAGGAGGAGGATAGTAGTGCTTCTGAGGGTGATGGTACAGTAAACACCCGCGTATGAGAACCTAGAATTTTTGGGTTCAGACTGAATGGGTTCTTATATTTTGGGGTAGTTTTTCCGAACTCAGGCTGATTAGGTTCTTAGTAGGTTCTTATTTGTAGGAGTTGTCATAGTGATACCATTCAGACAACTACTGTAGTACTAGTATGTCATAATGGTTGAACATTTGTATTTTAAACAGCAAAAATGCCAAGCCTTATTTTTTAAACAATAATAAATTCAATATCATAGGCTACCATATTTACAGTTGTATTTGATAATAATGTAAATTGTTAACAGCAATATAAATATATAAATAAAAACAGCAAAAATAAATAACAACCCGGCAATTTAGGGAATTAAAATTGAACCAATTTGAAAATAATCAAATACAATTTGAAACAAAATATTAATTTTCTTGCGTATTGAAATAAAGATGCATTGTACTGTACATTAGCTTTTGTATGAATGTAAAGTCTCAAAAGGTTTTCCCAGGGTCCATGATTGCAAAGTGTCTAAGTATGTCCATGCACATGACTGTATGCTCTAAAATGTATAAGGCTCAAGTCCCTGTGGTCTTATTTTCTCATCATCCTCCCCATCAGCAGTCATCAAGCATCCAGTTTTTTCAAAAAGTTTCTTTA